CCCCACCACACACAAAGGCTGCTTCACGGCAGCCTCCCCTGCTCCTCCCCCACCCCTGAGTTGCTGCCTCTAATAGACAGCATGGGAGGGGAGCAGGTGGCACTGCAGAGCTGGTGCTGGGGGGAGCCGGCTGCTGAGGCAGCAGTGCAGAGGGGGCAAGCAGACAGATCTGGTGCTCATGAGGAGCTGGCTTTTAAGCCAGCTCCCCCAGGCATTGGCTCTCACTCTCCCTCCTGCCTTGCTGCCTTTGATACAGAAACAGCAAGGGGAGGGAATGCATGTAGTCGACAAGATAATCAATAAGCCCAGGCATTAGGTTTCTGGTATACGGTGGTGTTTACGTGACCATAATTTATTAGTACTGTAGTGTCCAGGAAGTGGATCTCTTGTGTGGACTGGTCTAGGCTGACTTTGATAGTAGAGTGGAAATTGTTGAAATTCCTGTGGAATTCCTCAAGGGTATCCTCCCCATGGGTCCATATGATAAAGATGTCATCAACGTAGCATAATAGAGGAGGAGTAGCAGGCGATGGCAGCTGAGGAAACATTGTTCAAGGTCAGCCATAAAAATGTTGGCATATTGTGGGACCATGTGGGTATCCATAGCAGTGCTTCTGACTTGAAGATATAAATTGTCCCCAAATTGGAAATAGTTGTGGGTGAGGTGAAAGTCACAGTGTTCAGCCACCAGGTGTGCTCTGGCATCATCAAGGATAATGTTCCTGACAGCTTCTAGTCCATCCTGAAGTGGAATGTTGGTGTGGAGAGCTTCTACATCCATGATGGCCAGGATGGTATTTTCAGGAAGATTACTGATGCTCTGTAGTTTCCTCAGGAAGTCATTGGTGTCTTGAAGATAGCTAGAAGTACTGATAGCATAGGGTCTGAGAAGAGAATCAGCATAGTTGGATAATCCTGTTGCCTGATATGATGGGATGTCCAGGATTTCCAGGTTTATGGGTAGCAGATAGAATACTCCTGGTCAGGACCTGGGAGTGTTTTTGTGCAGATTTGATCTCAAGCTGTAGCAGGAAGTTTCTTGGATAGATGGTGGAGTTTCTTTTAGTATTCCCCAGTGGAATCAGAGGAGAGAGGCCTATAGAATGTGGTATTGGTGACTTAAGCAAATTATTCCTGATATACATTGCTGTGAGAGGTCCTATTTGTTAATATGCAGGTCAGTCAGACATGTCTGTGATACCCTGAGGAGATGTATTTTGATCTTTGTTTTATATATAAACAAGGTTCAGAAAGGGAGTGTGGAAAATAGAGGCTGGCTGGGTTTCTATAGAGTGCACCTCCTAATTTATTCTAAATGAAAACAAAAACAGAGTGATGAAGTATCCATTTCTATGTAGAGACCAATGGGAACAACCTTTTGTTCTGGGGGAGCTCTCAGCAGCAGTTGTGTAAATCTTTTTTTTTTCTTGCTAAAAAAGGAACACATTAGTAACTGATGATTCAGCTTCCTAAGCTAACTGGGTATTGAATTAGGACATTCAGAAGTTGGAGCCAGAGAATATTCTTTTGTTGAAGAAACCGTGTTAAAACAAACAAGTACAAAAATGTTCTCTAACACAAAATGGCAAGCATCTCTTCCAAAACATTTGACTTTAAAAGTTCTCAGTTATCGCAGTGCCCAGTTGATTTGCTGTAGCCTCTGTGTTTCTTTTATACCCTCCCAAATTCAGAATAAAAATGTGGTGGAAAAATGTCACATGCATGATTTCGGGCTGTGAATTTGGGTGGAGGATGGTATTGTTATTCTCTTGTTAGTATCTTAGTATTTTCAAAATATTTGGTTCAGTATTAAACCTCTTTATAAGAATTTGACCTTCATGGGGTTTAGCACTGATCCAAGCAAAGAGCTCAAATGGTTGAACTTGGGTTCCTGGAGTCCACAGTTATATGCCCTTGTAAAAAGGGCCTGATTTTCAGAGGGGCTGAGTCTTACAGGAGTCAGTACTCACCACCTCTGCAAGTCAGATCACTGTGAGGTAGGTGCCTCTATAGATTTAAGTGCCTAAAATTCAAGGAATGCTGCATGGGCAGACCCTGGCATTTATGCTTTGCCCCATTGACTCTGTACTCCCAGCAAGTGCAGGGGTCTGCCCACTGACATTCAAAGCAGCAGTAGGCCCTGTGTTTGAATATTTTGACCACTGTTTTCAAGGTTCAGGTTGAATTGTGTGAGGCATTTGCTTAGAAATATACTGTAAGATTCAGTTCCTTGTGTTTTCTGTTATTAGCATTTCACACGGCATTAATCTGGACAAAAAGCTTAGTAAACAATGTCCACGAAGGGGATGTTGTAATGAAAACTAAATTTCAGTATACTCTTCAGCCACTAGGCAATTCTCTGAGTGGCATACCTTATGGGTGCTAACCTCAGAGGTGCCATGTAGTACAGTAAAATAACTTATAGTGAAGCACATCTGGTGTGTATCTCTGAGATGGAAGCGTGGTGGCCAGTCCATACCTCTTACAGAAGCCAGAGCAGCAGCTAGCAGCTCGGTGTGCAAGGTGGACATCACAAGAGCTATCTTTCCAGAGTTATTTTTCACTTGCCCTCTGCTGCTTACATGGGGCAATATAATGTTCACCATTTCCAGCTTTTGGAGGTAGGAGTTTCACTCCCCTACATGGAAATAAAAATTTAGGTTTAAAATTTAGCTTTATGTGGGGAGTTTTGGGGGATGCAGAGATGTGGGACCTGAATGCTATGGCAGATGCTGTCTGCTCAGTTAAGGCAGAACACATATGGAGTATCTGCAGACATGTTGCAACCCTGCTGTGACCATTAAGACAGCTTTAAAAAGGTGCATCTATCAGTGTTCTAAAATGATCAGTCTCATGGATTCAAACTTTGGCAAATTGTTATATGCAGTTTGGTGTGTTTATGTCTGCAAAGTCTGCAGGTCGTGAAATTATTTTTGGAGTGCAGATCAGTCTGGCTGGAAATAAAGGAAACAAAGGCTATGTCTACACTGCACTATAGTTCGAAATAAGATACACAATTTGAGCTATACAAATTGTGTATCTTCTTTCGATCTTATTTCAAAATAGCTTATTTCATAATTTGGCACTGTCTACACAGCACCAAATTTCGAAATAACATGCTATTCCAAAACTTCCCTTACTCCTTGTGGAATGAGATTTACAGGGACGTCGGAATAATGAGCCCGAAATAATGGTCTAGCTGTTAAGTCATGGGATAGTTATTTCGGGATACTATGGTATCCCGAAATAGCATTGCAGTGTAGATGTAGCCCACAGAGCGGGAAAATTCTAATGACAAGATTTTTTTTTTAACTGCAGACATGATAACTCAATGCAGAAAGTTTTCAACAGATAATTCTTTAGCAAATTGATACATTGAGAAAATACAGGCTGCACCTTGGTTGTCTTTTTCTGCAGTGGTTTTGGTAATCACAGCCATTATAGAGACTCTGCTCTTCCTAATGCCATGATGCTGATCATGAAGAGCTAGACTGAGAATTTTGTCTCTGCCTGGTGACAGTGTAGCACTGTCCTTGAAGAGCCAGGGGGAGGAATTGTGACTCCCTTTTGTGGAGGGGAGGAGTAAATAGCTTACTCCCTGCCCCTTAGCCCTCCTTCAGTGGTTTAGCTTTACTGGCTGACCTTTTGAGCTAGTGGATCCATTTTCTGTATCCTCCCTGCCTACCTGCTGGGAGAGAGGAATGAGGGACTGGAGTGTAAAACCTGCTATACCCAAACTGCCATGTGGGGGGCATTAACATGAGGCAATACAGGAAAAAAGTGGCCTGCTCCCCTGGGCAGCTATATTAGGCTGAGTCACAATCTGTTTCTAACATTGGCATTATTTATCTCACTCAAGAGGGTGAATAAATCACCCCCTGAGCAACATAAATTACATGGACCTAAGTGCCATTGTGGACAGTGTGTGTCATGTTGGTAGGCATGGGGGCTGGATTAGCTAAACCTACAGGAGATTTTTCTCTCATCAACATTGAACAACTACACTAGAGAGATTACAGCAGTACAGTGACGCCCTTTTAAACTCTAGTGTAGCCATGCCTAAAATTCCCTCCAGTCTAGCCCCAGAAAGTAGCATCTTCCCTAAAAATGATACATTGGAATACTGTATTAGACTTTATCTTAAACTGTGTATTTACAGCATTATATCATTTTAATAGTTTCTTAATGATCATTTCAAAATGAGTTGATGTCATAGCAGTACACTTCCAGCTTCTCATATCCCTTTGTGTATGGGTTATTTTATTCTTTTTAGAAACCTGCAATATGGTTACAGTCAAAATGGAAAAAAATACATGATACTGTTTTAACTCTTACAATGAATTTTATATTCTAACAGTAAGAAGATCAGAGGGGGAGGATGGAAGTTTTGATCAGGACAATAGGAAGGTAATCACCAGAATGCACGAGAAGCATGCAATGTGTTAGTGTTTCTCAAAAATGCCATTTTTAAATCTTTTTTATTATTTTTACATGTTATTTCTATTGCTCATAATTCTAGTTATTTAATAGCAGCAAATGTATGTTTGGTCCATCACAGAAGATGCAGAAAGATATTGAACCTCCCACAAAGTGCTTACAGTCTAAATTTTACCAGTGATGGAACAAGTAGGGGAGGCAAAAGAAGTAAGGGGCATTGAAATAATGTAATAAGTGCATGCATTTTCTTATTCTAGACATCTTCTAGGTCAAAATTGGGTTTTTAATTCAATGTGTTTGTTTTAAAATGAGACAGAGTAATAAAGAGACATTGATTCACTAGTATCATAGAATCCTAGGGCTGGAAGAGACCTCAGGAGGTCATCGAGTCCAGCCCCCTGTCCGAAGCAGGACCAGTCCCAACTAAATCATCCCAGTCAGGGCTTAGTCAAGCTGAGACTTCAAAATCTCTAGGGTTGGAGATTCCACCACCTCCCTAGGTAACCCATTCCAGTGCCTCACAACCCTCCTAGTGAAATAGTCCTACCTGTCACTACTGAGAACAGCCTCTCTCCATCCTCTTTGGAACCTCCCTTCAGGAAGTTGAAGGCTGCCATCAAATTCTCCCTCCCCCCCCCACCACCACCACCACTTTCTACAGATTATATAAAACCTAATCCTTCAGATTCTGCTCATAGGTCATGTGCTTCAGCCCCCTTATCATTTTGGTAGCCCTCTGCTGGAACCTCTCCAATGCATCCACATCCTTTCCATAATGTGGGCCCAGAACTGGATGCAATACTCCAGGAGTACTTCTAGATTACATGCCTCTGCCGACAGAGTCATGTAAAATAGGCTACCCGTCATAGTCAATGAAGCGGGGGTTTAAATATCCCCGGCTTCATTAAAATAAACATGGCTGCCACGCTGTGCCGGTTCAGCTGATCATTGGCACAGCACGCGAATCAAGATGCGGATCGGTCAACAAGGGAAGCCTTTGTCAACTGCTCCCTTATGCCTCGTGAAACAAGGTTTACAGCAGCAGTCGACAAAGGCTTCCGTTGTCGACCGATCCTCATCTTGACTCGTGCGCTGTGCTGACGATTAGCTGAACCGACACAGCGCAGCGGCCATTTTTATTTTAATGAAGCAAAGGATATTTAAATCCCCACTTCATTGACTATGTCCGGTAGCCTATTTTACATGTCTCTGTCAGCAGAGGCATGTAATCTAGACGTACCCAGATATGGCCTCACCAGAGCTGAATAAAGGGGAATAATCATTTCTCTAGATCTGCTGGCAATAGCTCTTCCTAATGCAACCTAATATTCTATTCGTCTTCTTGGCTACAAGGGCACACTGTTGACTCGTATCCAGCTTCTCATCCACTGTAATCCCCAGGTACTTTTCTGCTGAACTGCTACTTAGCCAGTCAGTCTCCAGCCTGTAACAATGCTTGGGATTCTTCTGTCCCAAGTGCAGGACTCTGCACTTGTCCTTGTTGAACCTCATCAGATTTCTTTTGGCCCAATCCTCTAATCTGTCTAGGTCACTCTGGACCCTATCCCTACCCTGCAGCATATCTACCTCTCCCCCTAGCTTAGTGTCATCCGCAAACTTGCTGAGGGTGCAATCCAACCCTCATCCAGGTCATTAATGAAGATGTTGAGTAAAACCAGCCTTAAAACCAGTTGAGTAAAACTGATCCTTGGGGCACTCCACTTGAAACCAACCGCCTATCTGACATCAAGCCGTTGATCACTAGCTGTTGGGCCTGACAGTCTAGCCACCTTTCTATCCACCTTACAGTCCATTTATCCAATCTATACTTCCTTAACTTGCTGGCAAGAATATTGTGGGAGATGGTATCTAAAGCTTTGCTAAAGTCAAGATATATCACGTACACCGACTTCCCCATGTCAACAGAGCCAGTTACCTCATCATAGAAGCTAATCAGATTGGTCAGGCAATTCATTCGTAGGCATTCATAGTTTAATTTTTAAAAATACACATGAACTGATACCAGGACAGAGTAACAGCGTAATTAACAGGAAACCTATGCTCAGCCAGCTGGATGTTAAGTATCTGATACTAGAACTTCTAACACAGTCTCATGTGACAATGCTTGTGATCTGTCTTCCACATCTGTGGACAGTTGGTTCAAAATTACTTATAAATAAAAACTGATCAGAGAGAATTCCCATGTGAGTGAATTTTCAAGAATAAATCCAAAGGTTAAGGTTCAGTTTTGTTTTATTCAGCTAAAGACCAGTTGGCTGATTCTGAAGGGGGAGATGGACACCAGAACTAATTCTCCAGATTTGGATACTCAGTCACTGTCGCACAGTCCTGGAACTGACAGAGAACAGCTCCGACAAATGCAAGAGACTACACCCACTGTATATTCAAGTAAGTATTTACTTTACACAGTAAGTCATGGACGTGGCATCGTGGTTTGACTGAGGAGACAGCCATGCCATAGGCTTCTTTGTACAATTTCATTCTTTGTCTTGGGCCTCCACCCAAACTCTCCATATTTGTAAACTGGAATAGCCAACTGATCTTTATTTTGAAATGCTGCTCCCACTAGCTGTCAGTACTGAAAGTATTTCTCCACATTCTCTTCATTTAACTTGACAGGATGGTGGGGGGAGTACAGGGATGTAGCCATCAGGAATAAAGGAACTTAATTTTTTCTTTTAGTACATGAATGATCAAACAGTAACTTTAGATGAAAATACATTTAAACAGCCTTGCCTAAAGATGCAGATAGGTACTTCAGGACCATGAATTCAGAGATAGAAAAGACCCCGTGAGTTATATGGTCACCTCCCTGCTGGTGCATGTTGTTCCTTATGTTAACATTTTCTGATTTTTTTGCGCAGTGTAGTTTTCAGCCTACCAGCAAGGTTTCCACCACTTGTCATAGAAGGTCATTTAACAGACAGTTAGTTCAGGCTTTGAACAGTTTTTTCATGGTATTCAAGCTCTTTTATTCCATTCCTAAATTTTATTCAATTACTCCTAGTTTTGTTCCCCATGCTGTCCTTAATAATTCTTTTCCTTCTTTAGTGTTTACACCATTCAAGTATTTGTAGGCTACTGAGTGCCTCACTGATCATTGCTAAACCATTCTCCCTCTCACATGTTGATGAGGAGTGAAGAAAACCTTAGAACCACACAGCTGGTTCAGGCTGTGTAGTTGGTGCAACAAGGAAAGTAATGTGTATCAGGTTTAGGCCCAGCACAGATCACTTACCCCATAAAGCAAGAGGAGACTGCAAGTGACTCGCTGAACCACAGTCTGGTTTCAGGTCAGCTTCTGGAGCAGTGTGCCAAGGCCCTGCCCCTCACAGAGGTCTTGTAGCAAAGCCACAGTTAAACTCTGTGGTAACTAGACATCATAATAACAATTGCTCCACCCTAGTTCCTTATTTTTTTTTTGTCTGGTATTAATACTGTGGGCTTAGTGACAAAAAGTCTTAGGCCTTGAATGCCCCCTGAACTCTCTTACAGCGAGAGGTTTTATTCATGGATACCATTTCAAGCATCAGCTTGTCAAGTTAAAGAAAAAACTAGGCATTAAGATGCTGAACTCAGAAAAGGGAAACAAAAATGATTAGGAGTTTGGAACGGGTCCCATATAAAGAGAGATTAAAAAGACTTAGACTTTTCAGCTTAGAAAAGAGGAGATTAAGGGAGGATGTGATAGAGGTCTATACAATCATGACTGGTATGGAAAAAGTGAAGAAGGAAAAGTTATTTACTCATTCCCACAATAAAAGAACAAATGGGGGAGAGGGCATCACCAAATGAAATTAATAGGCAGCAGGTTTAAAACAAACAAAAGGAAGTTTTTCTTCACTCACCGCACCGTCAACCTGTGGAACTCCTTGCCAGAGGATTCAGTGAAGGCGAGAACTTTAACAATGTGCAAAAAAGAGCTAGATAGATTCTCAGTGAAATGCTGTCCCCATAGAAGTCAAAGGATGTTTTCCTGTTGACTTTAATTAAGCAAGGATTTCACCCCTGGAAATTTTCCAAATGGCCACAAGATGTCGCCTGTACTTCACTTCTCTGATTTTTACACACAAAATTCATGTTCATCCTGAAATGAATGTTTGTCCTCATTAAAGTTTAGGATATAAAACTCCCAAACTGTTAGATGTTAAAAAAAAAAAAAAAAGGTTGGTAATTCTAAAATGTTTCCTTTACTGCAAAGCATATTCCATCTTTAACCAGGAGCATGGTGGGAATTTTAACAAACAGGAAGAGACCATCATTAGAATTTGGAAATTGCATGATATGAACCTTTGAGCCTTCTGACATTGCAATCTCTATGTTCCTAAATCATTTGAATACAGCTGGTCCCCGAGTTGCGAGCCATCGACTTACGACCATTCGCAGTTACGACCAAAACTGTCATAAATGGCAGAACCCAAGTTATGAACGCGATCCGTACTTACGAAGGGTACGTCTACACTACAGCGCTAGTTCGAACTAACTTAGTTCGAATTAGTTAATTCGAACTAAGCTAGTTCGAACTAGCGCATCTAGAACTAAAAACTAGTTCGAACTAGCGTTTTGCTAGTTCGAACTAGCAAGTCCACATTGAGTGGACTCTGAACAGGGCTTAAGGATGGCCGGAAGCAGTGCCGGCAGGGCATAAAAGGAGGACTTAGAGCATGGAGATGCTGTCTCAGGCTAGCCGAGGGCTGCGCTTAAAGGGTCCCGACCCCCACCCCGGACACACAGTTCTAAGGGGTGCCCCGCTTGCAAAGAAGTTCTGGCTTGGAGTGCCCTGAGTGCCCACACTGGGCACATCACACCACTCGGCCATCAGCCCGGCTGCACTTGCCGCAGGCTGCCATCTGGGGAGAGGGAGTAATTGGGGGGCTGCAGGAGAGCTTCCACCCCCAGAAGCCCGCAGAGCCAGCCCAGTCCTCCCCATCGGGGGCTCATACCCCATTCCTCCCTCACCTCCTTCCACTTACCCTTCCCTAGCCCCCCTTCTTATTGATGTACAAAATAAAGATAACGTTTCTTCCAACATTGACTCTGTCTTTATTGAAAAAAACTGGGGGAGACTGGGAAAAGGAGGTGGGAGAGGGGAAGAGAAAGGCTGGGAGAGGGGAGGGCAACTAACATGATCAGGGGTTGGGAACAGGTCCCAGATGAAGAGAGGCTACAGAGACTGGGACTGTTCAGCTTAGAAAAGAGGAGACGGAGGGGGGACAGGATAGAGGTCTCTAAAAGCAGGGGTTGGGTGGAGAGGGTGCATTCAGAAAAGTTCTTCCTGAGTTCCCATAAAGAAGGACTAGAGGACACCAAAGGAAAGGAATGGGTAGCAGGCTTGAAACTAGTAAGAGAAAGTTGTTCTTCTTGACAAAGCAAATAGTTAACCTGTGGAACTCCTTGCTGCAGGAGGCTGTGAAGGCTACAACTAGAACAGAGTTTAAAGGGAAGTGAGATCAAGTCATGGAGGTTGGGTCCATGGAGTCCTATTAGCCAGAGGGTAGGAGTGGTGTCCCTGCCCAAAGTTTGTGGAAGGCTGGAGAGGGATGGCACGAGACAAATGGCTTGATCACTGTCTTCGGTCCATCCCCTCCAGGGTCCCTAGGGTTGGCCGCTGTTGGCAGACAGGCTACTGGGCTAGATGGACCTTTGGTCTGACCCAGGACGGCCATTGTAAGCTCAGGGCTCAGGGTCGGGGGTCTCAGTGGACCCCCTTGATTTTCATGCACACCTGGTCCTGGGTGGCCAGGCTGGCAGCCCTCCTGCCCTAGACGGCCACTTTCCTGTGCCTAGTGCAGAGATCGTGGACG